TTCTTCATTAAGACATGTGATTCAAACACTTCTTACAACTGATAATTCTGATACTAAATTTTAAACGCAATCCAATTCAATTCAATTCGTGATTATCATTTCAGCCATGACGCATAAAAGGCGACAACTATTTATATATGACTGTATATTTCTATGAAAATAATAATCCAGACAACACAATAAATTCCATACTCGCGTTGCGTTGGGGAACGACCATTTGATTTTTCAGGGGGTTGTTGTTAGAAAATGGATATGCTTATATCCTATAAATAGTCGTCCCGTTATTGCATAAATTTGAGTTAGAAGAACTGTAAACGTTTACAGAAATCAATGCTTACAAGTTTTTGAAGGGATGTGAAAGATACCAACGGAATATTTAAACTCATGAGTGAAAGACAAACTGACAACATGGACAACACCATGGCAAAATGAAAAACAACCAAAAAACAGTCATCAACACACATTCAACCAACGACTGAGGAACACGAACCCCACTTAAAACCTGAGGTGATCTCAGATGCTCCGGGAGGGTAAGCAAATCCTGCTAAACATGTGACAACCGTCGTGTTACTTTTATAAAATACGTTGATAAGTTATATATCAAGTGATTCTGCAAGGTATATCAAGTGATCATGCAAATTATATCAAGTAATTTAATTATGTTCTAATTTACATTCAGGCGTAACTTGCAACTTAATGTTTGATAACCTTTCTATATAAATTAGATGTGGAATGCTCTCCCAAACAACCAATGACCGACGGAAAAACATCTTAAACTCTGCATGATACCGTATGACCTTCGAGCATGAGCAAATCCAATACCGTTTATGTTATAAAATGTTTTGAATAAAGAAAGAGGCAAAGATAACCTGATGAAATATATGTGAAAGAATCATAAAGAAAAAAGCCTGTTTTTAGATAATGACATTAAAGCAGATCAATTTAAACAGATGACAACCGCTCATCCTCGGGACAGGTTCCTGACTTTGGACAGGTGTCTTTCAAAATACACTACAAAGTGTTTCTTTTCTTTCAAAGTACATAAAAATAAATACTTTCTTACTTTAAAGGTTTATAAGCCTCAACTTATACAGTATTTATTGTTAAAAAGCAACAGGAGACACAAATGTGATAATCAAAAATCATAGGTCGAGAACAACCATGGCAGAAAACAAAACAAAAAAAAACAACTAAAAGACAAACAACAGTCCTGAAGGCACTATACAGATAACTAAAGACCAAAGAAATAGAAGGTGATTTCTGTTGCTCCGTAAAAAAAACAAATACTGCCAAAACATGTGGTATCCCTATTGTTGATCATGACAAGTATGAATTCATTTAAAATAACAGGCTGAAGATACAAAAAGGAAAATCAAAACTCAGATGTCAAAACGAGGCCAACAAAATCGTGGCAAAAAAGTATTAGTCGATAATGTCACAAACGATGAATAAACTCTTCATAGATACCAGGTTTAAAACTGTGTACACCAGACGTGCGTTTCGTCTACAAAAGACCCAGCAGTGACGCTCAAATCAAAAAATTATAAAGGCCAATTGAAGCATGAAGTTAAAGAGCATTGAGGACCCAAATTTCCAAAAGGAACATAGCACTGGAACATATTCGTTGGATATGGAAATATACGAAATATTGTCATTGGTCTTTATTTATTGGTGTTTTATTTTTTACTACTAATTTGTTCTTCTGAATTTCTGAGGCTGTTTCCATTCTTTTCATTTATTGTGCATTTCCACAATATCGTCACGTTTTTTTTTCTAGTTACTGATTAATACTGTGCAATTCTAACGATTTCAAGTTTTTCTAGTTACATAATAATTCTGTGTAATTCTTAGTGACAGAATAAATCTGAAGACAAATGTTTAAATGAACATTCCAAAGTGTTGTTGAAACCATGTTTGGTTGTAATTGAGAATTTAATCTAACCAATACATTTGTTTTCAAATTGACACGGAATGACGACACTTCTAATAAACTTGCTGATATACTATTCAAAGTATTTATTATCATAATTATGCATAACTATACGGTGTGCTTGCAATAGTAGGACAGATGATTAAATAAATTACACCATTTATTGGTGATAAATTTGCTTACCCTTCCAGTGCTTCTTAATTAGTTTGTGGTATTTTCTCAATTATCAATATTTAGTCTTGAAAATATGAAGATCTTAACATGGTAATATAAATCGTAAGGTAAGTAGTGGTTGCACAGATATCACCGTGGCCGAAAGAAAAATAGATAAATAATCCTAGAAAACTAAGGTCGATAGACCCAAACTTCAATAAACATGGCTTATATCATGTGCTTCGGAAGGGCAAGTAGTTTTTTTAAAACTTTTTACCTTTTTTGCTTCATAAAGGAGTATCGTCGTATAGACAAATGACAATACAATACAATACAATAGAATACAATACTTTATTCTCTAAAAACCAATACAATCAAAGGTACAGAGAATGACATGCAAAAAAAAATACACAAATAGACAGAGGAAAAGAAGATATAATTTGAGCTGATCAATTTGTAACTATACAGGTTACGTAGGACAAAAGTTAAGCTTTGTGATATATGGCTTTGAAAGCATAATGATCAGTTGATTAGTCGTACGAATGAAAAGTTGAATGAAACATGACACATGATTTTATTCGGATTATTTTACCAAACTCTAGAACAATATTTGACAAATTATTTCTCAGGAGACTATATTTCAAAATAAACTTCCAATTAGTGTGATACATAGCAAATCTCGCGAGAATGAAAAAAATATAGTTCAGCATAAATAGATTATGTAAAACCTAAACTGTCTTTTGGAGCTGAATGAACGAATTAGGAGAAAAATATTCTAAAACACAATTTCGGTATATTGTTTTTTTTTCCAAAATGAAGAGTTTTATATTATTTATTACTACAGCATTAAAAACAAAAAGACAAACAGTTATTGTTCATCACATTTACAAATACACACAAATGAAATAGTAATGACAAAAGGGTCGAAATGACTAAAGTAAAGAAAATATTACATTAAATTTGTGTTTATCTTTACTAGATATGGTGCTAAACCGTATGTTAGTTTTTAGTCTATTTTTGATAATAAGTTTTCAATGAAAAAAAAGATGAGCTGAAACATAATAATATTCCAAATAAAAATTCTCCAAACATCGCATACAATCATCAGATGACAATATATATTGATGCTACACTCCGATTTTGTGTGACACTTTCACAATAAAGATTATTAGCTTTAAAGTGTAAATATTCTATTATAGAGCGTCAGACGATACCAAGAGGACATTCAAAAATTATGTATCTTAGCTTGGTTATTTTCAAATTTGCAATATCCACTACCAAATATTCTGTTTTCGAAACTCTGTATTCTATATCCTAAGTTTGAAGCATTGCCATATTTCCGTTGAAGCTGAATTTTGAATATTGTTATTCTTAAAAATTGTATTATAGAATTGAGAATGGTTAAGGGGAATGTCTTAAAGAGACAACAACTAGACCAAACAGCAGAAAACAGACAAAGGCCACCAATGGGTCTTCAACGCAGCGAGATGCCCGGATGCAGGATTCAGCTGGTCCCTAAACAATAAGGTATACTAGTTCAGCGAAATGGACGCCACACTAAACTACGAAACATACAAATGAACCAAATGTAAATACACACAAGACTAACACAAGCTCGAGGTTCCCGACTTTGGACAGGCGGAAAAATGTGACTGGGTTAAACATGTTTAGGGAGATCTCAACCCTCCCCCTATACCTCTAGTCAATGTGTAATAAACAAACACACAGCAATTTGCACAGTAAAAATCAGTTTAAAAGAAGTGCGAGTCTGAGGTTAGAATAGGTAACAGACGAAACTAGGTAAAATGGCAGTGATCAAAATGATAATGATAATACTATATTATATTTATTAAATTGCATTCAGCTCTGAGATTCAAGTATTACAATATTGATATGTTTAAGTCGTATTATTGTCTTTGTAAATTGATTGTGATCATCTAAAGTGCTCAGTCTAAACTATTTATTCTCATCCCTATTTTCAAGTGCATAATCAGCTGTATTCTAATATTATTATAAAGCCATTAAAAATAATAATTGAATCCTTATTAAAAACACTAAGACAACTTTATAGATTATATTTGCCTGAATACTGAAAAAAACCAATTTGGCTGTTATTTTCTTAAATACTGTTGAGTCGTGTAGTTTAGTATGTACTGTGCAAATGTTCGTGGATATTTGATTTCGTTTATTTTTTGTCAAAACTGGCATACATGTCGATAAGAAATTTGTACTTTGCTGAATATCTAAAATCATGGTTTACCATTGTCATGAAATCCACCAAAAATTTGAACCCAACTTATATTAATGAATCCCCAGTACTTTCTGAACTGACTTAAAAGAAACATTTAACCAGTTGTAACTTGTGGATTAGTATTTTCCCTTGGTATATATCCTTTTGCCAAAAAAATTTTGTGAATAGTTAGAGCTTTAATTAATGAGGTAGATATATTCGTAACTTAAGTAAGAAGCAAATGTTGAAATTGAATAAAGCATTTTAAATCCCGTAATAAAATTAACGGCATTAAATTTACTGCACCAGATGTGTAAAGTATGTTAAATTTTCAATAATGTAAACGATATTTCAAAATTCCAGCTTCAATTTATCATACCAAATTTTCTTAAAAATATTAAAATGAGAGGAATTTCCGTAATCATTTACATGAATAAAAAATTATTAATGACAATAAAAATTTGTCAAAAACGTTTTTTGTAACTTAAAATATAAATTCAATAAAAAAAAAGAAATGCATAAATGGTACAATCTGTACCACTTGATTTCATATGCACTGCAAAATGTTTAAATTGCATTTGAATAGAATTTATACTTAAACATATAACTGGTAATTTTGAGGAAATAGACAGGAAATAGTTAATATATAAGAACTGACACTTATTTAAACTAGCATAACGATCCTACCTGTTGCCTGGTTGTTCTAATCCTAACTGGTGTTCAGTTCAAGAGCCACTATTGGAATGAAAAGCGTACTTGACAACGGCTACTATTAAGGTCGATTTATACAAGTTAATTACGACAATTTGTGTCTTAGTCGTTCAAACTCTTGATTAAATATATACAAATTGTGGCTGAGGAATGCACCAATGAGCTGAGAGATAAAACATTGTATGGGAGTATAATCGAATAGTTGTGTTCTTTCAGGGTCTTGCAAGCTGAAATTTATTTAAGTCTCTCAATGAAGTGTTACGGACGCTTAATAATGAATTTCATAATACGTTAATATAAGCTTCAAATTATGCATACGATCACTTCTGTACTCTGGGGAATGTAAAGCACTCTTCTGACGAAGATTTGATTTAGTCTCTATTTGGATAATATGGTAATGAGGCTAAATTAGTAAGAAGGAAGAAATTGACTTGAAACCTCTAAAGGCTCTTTTGTGTCGCGACAAACAGGATTGACTTTAAAATGACAATATTTTAAAACAAGTTCAGTAATGATCAGTTAATATAAATTAGTGCTGGTTTAGTGCTGACTAAAGTTTAGATTTAAATGGTATGATCTGGTTTATATGGACAAACACTTGCTGTGAAAAAGGAACACGTGTATCAAAATATTTACAGAGTAAATTACAATTTATTAGAATTAACAATATGATGTATAGGCATTAAATCTCATTCTAATTAAAAAGACAAAGTAATACAATACATGATCTGCATCTACCGGAAAGGTAAATGTTTCATTCAATAAGTTGAATTTATAATCTGTATAAAAGTAGACGAAGGATATACGTCAATGCGACAGTCACCGAACGGCATGTGGATGTAATTGGTATACCGTACTTTGACCTATAATGGTTTACTTTTATAAATTTTGACTTGGATGGAGAGTTGTCTCATTGGCACTCATACCATCCGATTCTCATAAGTTGTTAAACCTAAAACATTTCTATTGTGTCCTATTCCCTATGTTCACATCAGTTACTGCATGGCAGGAGATCCTGTACCCGGTGTCTCTATTTTCTCTCTCTCTCTCTCTCTCTTAATACCAAATTCTATGTGTGTTTTGGGGATTAAAGCATCAGACAACTACTGCCGTTCATTACGTATACCCCTACGCAATCTGATGCATTTTTGTAATCGTGTAGACTATGAAACAGATAAGTTTGTGTGCCCATGGGCCTTTACCTATCAAATGCAATGCAAATAACCCATATGATTGAAGTCTTTATGTAAAAACGTATGCATGTTTATGAACCCTAGAGTGTATCGATATGTAATAGTCAATTGTATGAAATATCTCTTGTAATTTCTTGTTCAGTTCATTCCTGCAACTGGATATGTTATTGACTCTTCCATGGGATTGGAGTATTAGACCTTGATAAGATCTTTATCTTATTATCATATTTGTAAGGGTGAGGTCTCGTTTACCTTATCAAATATTCATTATATTCATAACAATTCATCTGTTCTTGTAGTTCAGCTGTTTTTTGTAGACAAGAGGCGAAAGAAATCAAGGGGATAATAAAACGTATAAGTGGAAGGAACACTGACAACGTCAAGGCAAAAAACAAAAAACGTACAAACAAGTTAACGAAACACTACATGGAAAATAGCGACATACCAACAAGAACCCAGAAAAAAAACAGAGGTGTTCTGGTTTATTCCCGATTGTCCCACTTTCTTAAATCTTAAGAGTTCTGATTGTCCCACATGAAAAGTTCTGATTGTCCCACATGAGAAGTTCTGATTGTCCCACATGAAAAGTTCTGATTTTCCCACATGAAAAGTTTTCATTGTCCCACATTATTTTTTGAAATAAAATGTCCTGAAATAAGCAAGGTAACTGCTTTTTGTTTTGCTTAGAAATAAAAGAAATTAATTATTTCATGTTCAAACTTCAATTTTAGAAATGTATTGAAAATGATTTTTTTTAAATCATCAGATTAATGCACTTTTGATTAAATAATATAACATTTCTGGGTTATATAATGTTTCTATAATGTTACGTTTATTTATAAAACAAATACTAATACCGTTATTTTAATTACATTTTTTTTAATGAATTTAGAAATAATGCATGCAATTTAAAAAAAAAGTATAAACTCATTCACACTCTACACTCTACAAGTACCAGGGAAGTCAGAGGACATTTACACAATATTCTTTACACTGCTGAAGACTGCTTGCATCAAACGTCAGATTCACCTGAACCAAACACCTTTTTTCAATGATTACGAAGCTGTTTTGTCCAGAATTCTGCCATATAATAGCAATCACTATTAAAGGTTGTTTGTTTTCACAATACCCATTGAATTTGACGTAAAGTGCCGTCAACAGGACTCGTCATCGACTATGAATGAGAACCAGGCATTCATCAACTTATATGCAGGGCATCAGTTCTCTGGTACCACATGCAGAAATAGAAGACATCTGGTTCCATGCACTTGAAGACCTGGAAAGTTCGGACTAAACAGTAAATACCACTCCGTTTACGGACTACGTCACAACAAACTAGGTTGAAAGCAAGAGGCAGCTATGAAACCATTACAAAACTGAAGGACCAAGAATGATAAACTACCTCGAAGGATGGCACAGCAGCTTGAAGAACCACACTAAAACATATACACGCTACTGAACTACCTTAAAGAAGAGAAGGCAGCACACGTAGTGACCATTATCCAGTACTAAGGTCGAGGGGAGTAAGACCAACAAAGAGAAGAAAATCCACACAACTCAATCATCGCCTACATGAACTCAAAAATCGTCTTCAGAATGGTGAAGTTAGTGTATTTCAGTATGCTAACATTGTCACTTATTTGGTACACTTATACTAAATTTGTTGCAGTTATATGATGTGTTTTGATGTTAATGTTATGTATTATGTCTATTGTTGTACTTATGTATCATGTTTGTTTTATTGTTTTTCCTTCTGAATTGTGTGTGCTTTATAGTATCTGCTCTTCATGTCATATGTGTACTTTAATCAATTAAGCTATTTGTTATGAGTGCTTTATTGTACTAAGCTGTTTATTATGTGTGCTTAATTGTAACTCTTTAGTTCACATTTATGTAGAATTGAGTAGTGATTAATATGTGCTATTTTATGATTTAATATTATTCTATGTTTGACGATAATGCAAATGTACATTTTATGTGCAAAATAAAAGATGTAAATATTGTCATCTGTTCATAGAAATATGAAGGTGTGGTATGAGTGCCAATGAGACAACTCTCCATCCAAGTCAAAATATGTATTTCATATTTTATAAGTTACATTGATTAGTTTCCTGTAATAACCAGCTACACACTATAAAAACAAATTAATCCCTATCAAAACAATTCCCGATTGTCCAACATTTAAACTTCCCAATTGTCCCACAAACCTGTTCCCGATGGTCCCACAAACTTTTATTACTTTTTACTAGAAATTTCAAAAAGGGGGACAATCAGGGGATATCAGGTGCTCCGAATAAATAGATCGATTGTGTTTAAGGATTATCTTTGATTCTGGTTAATGTTTTCAAAGTTTTCCTTTTGTTCCGGAATTTGAATTCCTGATGAAACATTAATGGCTACATTGGTATTTGTCTTCAATAACTAAGAGTAATTCTCTGCAAGCATCAAAGAATTTCAAAATGCATACGCCAGGATTGTCTTTATTTATGTTTCAGCTATTAGTAAGGGTGCATTGAGAATGTGCTTGAAAAACGTCATAAAATTAATGCTCAATGAAAAGTGGGTTTAAGAATTTCCAGACAAATAAAAAATTTGTAGTAATTGCAAAATTCTGTTTTTAGTAATATTTGAATAATTAATTTCAAAAATATTGGTTCCGAAAAAAATTGAACTGTGCAAAATTTTCAAATACACCCCTCCCATTTATTTGAATTTTGATTTATAAATGGTGCAAATACAAAATTATTTTTTAGGCATATCTACAAAATCTGGGCTGAAAATTCTATATAAGCATTTTAAACAGGATATTATTGGATTCTGAATACATAAGGGATTTCACGCAGTTTTAGAATAAGTTCTTTATATATTCTTTTATAAATTTGGCCCTTGGGTTTTTCGTTTGAATTGTTTCACAATTTTCATGTCAGGGCCTTTAATAGCCTACTATACGGTATGGGGTTTTCTCATTGTTGAAGGCAATACGGTTGCCTATCATTACTTACATCCACTTCATCTGAACACTGGTTAATCGTTGTCTCATTGACAATCATACCACATCTCTTTATTTTTATATAACCGATAAATAATATATTTGTCTGAATGCATTTCTAAATATGCCATAACCATACTTAGTTACAACAACAAAACAATTTTCTTTTTCATTCTCTCAACACTAAATACATTCAATTGTACTTGCATATTTCAAGCAATTTTTTCTCTAAATCATAAAGTGTTCAAGCAGTTGCCATAGCAAACAAAAAATCTTATGCGAAAAATGGTATAGATTTTGATATATCTCATAATTCGAACATTTTCACAAAATTTAAGCAAATTCTGTGACATGTCACTTCCACATGATTTTGATGCTTGCAGAAAATGACTCTTAATAAGTTATACTTTTATTTCAATAAAGTATTTCATACATTTTGGGGTAACTGTTATCATGTGTAGTATACATGTGTATATATGCATGCAACGTTAATATTAAAAACAACAATAGAATATATCCCATTTAGATAAACCAACAGAGCCTGGATTGACTGACCTTTTTCAACCAGGTTTTTCGTTGGGTTCGTGGTCTGCAGTTAGTCTTTTCTTCTTTTTTTTCTTTGGTTTTGTCAGTTTTTCCACAAAAAAGTCTTTGGGTTTTTTTTATTGTCGTATTGATATTTTCTTTTTATAACTCTGTTTCCTCTTTATCAATTGTCTTTATTCTACAATTACATATAGTTGTTATGACCGGATAATACTAAGCTTAATGTAAATACGGGAACGCATAAATGTGGCTTAATTTAATTTATTATTAGTTCTTTAGCGGAACAAAAAGTGAAAGTCATTCTCTTTCAGAAAATAATTTTTTTGATATTTATATATA